TTGAACTGACAATTCCGAAGACAGATGAATTTTCGCTATTGATCAATGGTGGCATTTTATGTACTCCTTTTGGAACAGTAGATAACGTACCCAGGCCGGGAAAGTATTGGTACAATTCCATAGCTCGTGATAGTCAAACACGTAATATTAGTTTGCCAGTTTCCTGGCCGTGGTGCGTATGCTATTTTTTTTTTTGCCCAGCGAGGCCAAAATTAGCATGTTACCTACCGATTTTCTAATTAATAGGATAAAAAGTGATCTACTGGCAATTATTTCCGCGCGCTCAAAACGTATAACAAACGAGAAATACATCTCGCAAGAAATAAATTTATCACCGATCATCTCGAAGCCGTCAAACTATCCAATGATGAATGCATTTATCCGACAGCGGCATCGTATCGCAGCTGGTATCTTCGGATACAATTTCGAGTTGTCGCAGTTCCGAGATTCGCTTTCTTCGGTTACGCAATCACCGCCTATGCGATGATGCGTATTTAATTGGAAAATAATGGATGTGTAATGCCATTCATTGGCCTACGGAGAACATTGCATTAAGTACCCGTATAATAAGCATTTGGAAAATGCTAGAATCAATGTTGTGCTAGAAAGCTTCCGCCTCGCAACACTTATGATAAAGTTGAACCTGCCGTCAGGCGACACGTACCGCGATTTCGCAATGAAACCAGCTATCTCGCTTCTTATCGCTTTTGCTATGGTGATTTGGATTTCTTTTATCGTGGACGTCACCACGTTCGAAAAGCCAATTAATGCGATCACTGTTTGTCGGCTGATAACGACGAGCCTCCAAGAGAGTTCACGTGAAATACCAATTGCTTTTAACGATATGATCATTCCACGTGACTATAAACTTTTACCGGGCTCGATATGAGTTTCCGGCGGCGGTGAATTATTTCAAGTCTGCAAATTGACGACGCCTCGAGATATTTTTTCCATTCCACTGGGTGGTGGTGATATTCATTATTCCAATTTAGTTTATGTGATCGCCAAATTGAGAGGATGAACGATTTTTATTTGTACTCGTATTTCTCATGTTCAAAGTCTTGAACTCTGTATAATTATGTTTGTTTCGACATTTCAATATTTACATGCGAATCGAATCCCAAAATAAAATGCAGCTTTGATTCAATTTATCCAAGATTTCGCAAGACTTACAAAGTACGTCAGCCAGCTTATGAAATAAACGTAAAGCATCGGTAAACAACGATACCACTAATCGCAATTCAGAAAAAACTTCGTTCGACCTACAATTTTAAATCGATTCCAAAAAGAAAAGTAAAAATAAGGAAACTCTTTAAATTTGAATATCTACTGCGACGACACAAATTGGAAAAAGAAAATAAATAAGCATTAATCTCAATTTGCTATCAAAGTAACAGCTTCCGCAAATAATGACGAAAAGTTGGGAGCTTGAAGTCGCCGCATCCAACCAGAGAGTCTGACGCAATTCCCGGCGGACGAGCCTCCGACAACGCGTAACGCAACCTCGCGTACGGTACTTGTCATTTGCGATTGCAATTTTCTCGCTCGCACAGGATTGGCTCGAGGAAACCGCGATGGCGAACTAATTATTCTTCGGCCGACGGGTTCTGTGAATTCAAAAAGAGACGCGGGATGAAATTTCGATTTCTGACGCAATGATTCTCGTTCGCGACGACGACACTGAGCTGCGATACGAAGCGGACGCTTACCAAGAAGATGCACAAGGCAGACAAGATATCGATACTCGTATTTTCACTCAGAAATCAGTCTGTGTCTAGGCGACGGCTTTCCTATGTTTCCTCTTTATTCGGAGTTCGAATTCTCGAACGACTAAATGGAAATTTCGCAACGATCAGGCAAAGCTACAATATAGTAAAAAAGAAAAACGATCAATTCGACGTGAGAAAAAAAAAATTTCCTCTTGAAACTGCGACGAAGTAATATGAAATTACAGCGCAGAGCTATTTGACAAGTTTGAAGTTGATACGTCGTAGTTACGTAAGCTGCGACACACCCACGGCATAAGTTGTCGTCGCGGCTTCTCCATCCCCGACACGATCGAACGAGATAAAAGAAAACGAGCATTTACGATAGGTTCAATCATTGGAGGCCTCGTCTCTCTGTTCGTCGTCCTCGGCGTAGGTCAAGCGCGGGTTCGATTAAAGTTGCCCGCGACTGGCGCGAGCTGCTATGCCATTGGTGGATACTTGACGGCTCGTCTGGGGGCTCGACATCCCACTACTACTACTTTGGCGAATGTGTGGGTGTAGTAACGTCTTACGTGCGATACAGGTTGTCATGTGTTCGTAGGGGCGACGTTGTATGCCAAAGTACCTACTGTCACGATACATTTCTTTTTTTTTTTGCGGGTTTGCTTAGCAGAAAATGATACATAATTTGATTTTTCTCATTGACTGCGATTTTATTCATTCATTCACGAATACTCGTTAATATTCGCAAATGCATGTAATAAACCTTGCATTAAACGAATAAAGCTTTTCGTAACTCGGTGCTAGTCCCGCGAGTTACACGCTTGATTGGACCTCGTCGACTATGAATCTTAGAAATGGTCCCGATAAAACTTATATTGATTTTTCCAACAGTCATTATCTTTACGAGGTAGGCTGCCGCACGCTCAACATTGACATTTCATTTTTAATAGCTATTCTTATCACGAAAACAAACGTAGTAAATCCAGCGTGGCTTCAAAGCGATTTTCTTTCTCACAGCTCTACACCTTTTCTCCTTCTCTCGCGGCTGCGCAGAAAAGAGCTTTCCTCTCAACGATGGATTAATGACGACTGCGAGTGTTTGCTGAGTAAAGAACAGGCTGAAGCTCGAACTAATATTTGCGTTCACGAGCAAATAAGCTTAATAAATTAGGAACAATATCTCCGAGGAGAGCGCAGCTGACGTTCTCTTCGACTGTCAATGATGCAATCACTTTCGCGCCGAGAACCTGAGATTAATAGTATCAGTGATATGTCGTTATCGGGAATTCGCTGAAAATAAAACGAGACGAAGATCATTGATCGCGCCGCTTAGGAACATTACTCATCTTTCGAAATGCTGCAAATCGTGGCGTGCGTTTAAGGGAGCCCTAAAGGCCCTTTAACATACATACGGCACTGGGATTGTACAACTACATATGTAGCAGCAGAAAATCGGCGTCACGTGGCACGAGCGCTTACGTGATCGTCGTCACGTGCCCGACCGAGCCTCTCTGCGTACGCCTATACAAATGGCTTATTTACACCGAGAGACTGAGGAGAGGGAGCGAAAAGAAAAATCGCGAGTCAGGCTATTTTTAGGATTCGATTTTTGGGAGGCGATATAGCCGGTCGGATTTTGATACATACATGCCACTTTTTGTATCTCGTCGCTAACTCCACGCGAGCTAACATTTCCACGGTGAAAACAATACTGTCAAGATTACTCTTGCGATGAAAATAATGACGGGTGTAACGAAAAAGAAAAAAAGTATAGGAGTTTGTCGACATTTCGTTCCCCGAGATAACGATCCGCTCAGAATCAAAGAGATTTCTTGAATTCTGGAGCCTGGCCAACAACGCGAAACGCGTACTGCGATAGACCGAAATAGAAAAACGACTCACCCCACTTTTCAAATGCTCAATTATGACTACGCTATTGTTCGATAAGAACTAATACGCTTTTAAAGTGAGTGAGATGAACCTTACGAATTCCGCGGCGTTGTAAATTGAAAGATAAATAAACTTTTTTCTGTACTGTCACGTCTACAACAGGAAAGCCCATAAAATCGTTATACTTATATGTAAAGCTACATCTCGCAGTTCTTCGACGTTTATTTGCAACCATGTAGACAATTACATCTGAATGGACTTAGTCGGAAGCTCAGCGCGTCGCACTTATTTATTCCGGCATTGCTGCAACGTAAACCAAACAGATTCATAAATCCAGCTTATCTACCGAAAAAAAAGCTGCGAGCTATCGCGATTAACCAATAATTGTCAACGATAACTTAATGTTGAACGAAGCGGCTGAGGCGCGTTGCGAAAGCCGCATTTTCGGTGGCAAAGAAGGGGCGTGTACGATGACGTTACCACAGCGTCATCGACCAGCCGATCGTTAGCGTGTGCCAGCATTCACGTGCGTGTGTAAGTGTGTAAGTACAATATCGACCAAAGAGAGCGCCACGTGACGTCGCCCGGTGCGAGCGAGGACATACCTTTCGGCTTATCTGACTCGACATTTTTCTTCCTTTTCCTTTCGAAGTTACGCCAGGCATAGATGAAACATTGAAAGTTTCCAAATGTAGTAAAAAATGCTTTGCCAGATCCCGTTTAAGTCAGATTAACTGGTACTTGCGGTCAGGATGATAAAATCGTGTGGATTTTTCGTGACTTATTGTCAAACTTTTTTGAAATGATTCTAAATTTTTATAATCATTATTTTGCTCGTTAACTTGACTAATATTTTTAATTTTAGAAAAAAAATATGTATAACAAACTATCTGCAAACATAGACTTAACTTCATATTCGCTGCGTAATAACTTTCAGTTATAGAGTACTCGAATCTAAGTACTATTGCAAGTGACTATGAACATTACGAAATTTACTCAATTTATAACAAACTGTTTGTTTCTACTCTTAGTTAATTCTCGATTGCAAAAACATAAAAAATCTCGTGTCATTGCATCACTCATTTATAGCCAACGACAACACATGATAACAATTGCAGATTTGTCATCATTGACGACATATCCAAAAAGCAAATCAACTCCCTCCGAATCTCCACAAATATAGCAGAAAAAACATCTCGAAGTAAAGAAACTAACGGAAAACACATACCCAACCCACCCCAGAAGTGCGCACATGCACGCACACGCGCACACACGCACAACACAACACAGTGAAACTACCCTCGACGCCACATCGGCTGGGAAATTCGGCGTCTGCGCACAGCCGTCCTCGTGCGCGCGCGCAGGGGATGAAAGGGGGTGGGCGGTTCAGTGTCAGATCGAAGGTCTGCTCCGTCGGAACAGTAATAGTGGTGGAGTTGGTGTGCCACGAGTTGTACGCACGGTTTTTCTCGAGGGGTGAGTCTCGCACCATGTAACGTTCATCTTCTTCGGTCGAATGAGCCTTCGCGCATCACGCTGCTCGCGATTCAGGGTCGCGAGCGCGGGCCGGATAATTTCAATTTCGCTCCTTCGCCGAGGGATCGATGAGTAGGTGGCTTTCGTTGCCGGAATATAGGTTAGAAGCGCAGGTCCCGTCTGTATCGTATACATAAGCGAGGATATTCGCCCGACTGACATACCACGGGGAGTGACCGAAAGCCTATTTAGCTCGCAGGAAAATTCATGGCAAAAAAGTATTTTTAACGCAAGGCATATCCTTCCACGATTAGCCGTAATGTACTTGGCCAACATTTTCCGCCACTTATGGAATATGTTTAAACTCTCGTGTATTCCGCAACGAAGGTGCTCCGAGCGCATAAAGCCTGCCGTAAAGTAAGTTTACTACTGAAACATGTAAGCACGTGGGTTCCATTGAACTCCATGCAAAAATGAGCCGCTGGCCTGTTTTTCCATTCGCGAACGTATCAAGAACGAAAGAATCCTGTCGTCGCGCGAACCCTGCAGTTACGTAAGATTGCAAATCGACATTTCGCAGCTTTCAGTGTCTCATTACCTCGTTACGCAGTCAAGTCGTAGATTTGTTTACGCTCAACAATATGTCTGTTATAAAATAAATCAGAGTGGCGTTGTTTCGCGTACAGACGGTGAAATCGGATTGGCGAAAGAGTAGCGAAAACCTATAAAACCTTTGAAGCTTTATTTTAAACTGCAAGTACGCAGTTGACTAGCTTAACTGAAGAATTCAAGTTAATGTAATAATACTAAGAAAAAAATTGCTACATACGATGTTTTTTCATTAATCATTTCGAGTTTCATTTTTACAACTGCACTTGCGGCACTTTGAATACTTGCAAAGTAAATACGTCGTCGAATAAGTTATCGTATAATTAATTATGTTAATGTTATTTAACAACTTTTACGTCAAAGCTCATGACCGTGTAATATAAGCTGCCAATATGTAAATTGTTTCACCTGTAGGTCAAACTTTATCTTGCAAAGTATAAAAACAAACTAAATTTATTGTGCTTTTTCAATCTTCAAATATTTATTCAATCTTCTTGAGTAATCCAGGAAGACGTGGACGTGACTAAATGCACGTGGCTCAAAATCCTCAGACTTGTGGATACTCCTCGAGTAGCTTTATATGGTATATAGCAACGAATAAAAGTTACCTTGTTGTACATGCACAAAGGATCTCTTTGAAATATTTTTTTACCTTGCTCTTGTTAATCGTCGTGGTCAATATGGTTCTTGTCTATAAGCATAGGAAAATTTACTGAATAATGTATTGTTGTATCTAAAAATAATATAGTGAATGAACACGGTGAAAAAATGTATGTAAAAAAATGAACTTGAAATAAATTTTACAGCGTAACGGTTAAAATAAATTATAATATTTCCTAAATGTGCTTCTTAAAAAATCAATGATATTCAAAAGAACAACTTAACTAAGGAAAATCCAATTCAATTACGTAATCGCGATATATGATTTTATCAAAATTTATGAACTTTCCTTAATCATCTCAACTAACAACTTTCAAATCACATTCTCAACTCATCATTCAGTTCACAATTCATAATTTTTAATGTAAGAGGAATTCTCCTCCGTGAGAAATTTTTAATAGAAGCACGTAACCCACAAGACTCGTCGACGCTATTTCCACACTCCGTTCTTAGAAAACCTTTCGTTCCTTTGACTTACGAAGTTCTCAATTATCCTAATGGCAGCTGAGTTTGACGCCTCTTATACAGAATGAAAATCGCACGTAGAATTTTTTTTTAACTACATATTTACAGCAACAAAAAACTTTTCCCAATAGATCCTAGAAATTCCATTACTTGCGAGTATCTACCCTTGACCTTAGCACGACTTTCGTTTCTCTCACGCATGCGCGTGTATCAGCAACAGGAGAGAAAACTGTCCGGGCTATCTTTTCGCGTTATCGGCGTGTTCCGCGCGGTGAATACTAGCTTCTGCGAAATTAACAATTTTTGTTTCTCTCTCGAAAGTCACGGCGCGCAGATCTATTCTTATTTGGCTGCTCGCGGGCTCTCGGCGCCGGAAGTACGCGCAGTTCGGACCCGAGCGGCCTGACGCATGCCCGCGAGCGGCAGTCGAGAGGCGCAAAAACTTGCCCGAATGCGCCAAGACGAATCGCGGAATCTCGTTTAGGCAAACGATGCTGTGAGCGCGCGCGAAGCAGTTATCGCGCGACGCTAAATTGGCGGCGATCTGATTAATTCATTAAGCGGCCAACTATGTAGATTGCCGCTTGTTAAGCAATCAAATAGAATCCGCGATGTACTGCTTTTTTTTTTCGACCAATCCATCGCGTTTCGCCGAAGATTCGCTCGTTACAACGTCGACGCCGCGGCATCCTTTCTTCGCAATTAATTTTTATCAGCGCGTTCACCTTGTGCAACCGCCAGCATTTTTTTCCCCCGTCCACGCGTGCACGTCAACAGAGAAAAATAGGTCTCGAGGAAAGAATATCCGTCTGCGTGTTTTCGATAATGCTGCGTTTATTTGAATACAAAAGTATGCTTAAGCGCGCGCGTCAAGCTCCACGGGTTCGTAAGCGCAATGAAAATTAACCTGCGTGTCGCGCTTGCGAAACAGGTCTCGGAAATAAAAAAATCTCGTTATCGCGCCGTTTCGTCCGATTCGTTTCGAAGGCGTCGCCGGCTCGTGGAATTTTCGCGCAGAGCAAGTCCGACGTATACGAGAAGCAGAGGTAAATTGGGCTCGCGAAACGCGATTCTCTCGCTGCTCTCGTCGAGGAAGAGTACCCGGCGATAATGTGTTGCCCGATCCGAATGAAAAAACTGCGGCCGCACCGCGGCGGAATAATTTTCGCGACCGTGCGTGCGTTCGCGCGCGTAGGATGAATGACCGTGCGCGAACCCGCGCGGCGCGCGCTTATCTCGCTGCCCCTCTGTGCAAATGAGGTGTTTGCCGCGCGCGAAAACGACGCTCTCGCGGAAGTTTCCTCGCTAGCATGAGAATTGTCGTGACTATTTTTCCTATACAAATTGCGTTTATACCTCCAGTGCGAGCACATCACAATGGGCATTTGTGTACTATTACTTCGGGCAACCCACGATATAGAGGCTCGATCTGCATGTACGTTCTTGGATCTCGTTGGCAATACGCGTCTTGCAAGTTTGAATTCGTTTGTCCCGCTCATTGAGAATAAAACACGTACTTACATAGCGATGAATTTATTATAAAATTATGTTTTCGATTTCGGAGCAAAATGTCACTGGCATATTACCCCAACTCATTTTGTGGCATTTTGCCCCGAATGCGCTAAAAAATCTTAAAGTAAAAAAAAAAAAAAAAAACTCGTATTAAGAAAAACGTATAACTATGGAAGAAAATAAACCTTAAAGTAGCAGAAAATTTTAGATTATCACCAAGTTTATGAAACTATGTCTAGAAAGCAACTGAAAACTACGTCAGTATACTGTAGTATTTACGCGGTATGGTCAGCTGTTTATAATAAACACCTCAATCTTGCTCATATCCATATCTATTTATAATTATAGGAGATATCGCAAAGTGGCATATTCCCCACACTGTCATATTACCCCGAATCATCTTATAGGTACACTTGTCAAACTTTATTCTTGGACAGCTGATTTCGTTGTTCAGCATGGTTACGATCAGCAAGTTTCATTTAATCGATCATAAGGAACAGCTTGATTATTGAGGCACACGTTGAGGCAAGTAAGCAAGTAACGATTAACGATGAGAGCCGCGTTCGCATGAGGTGGAGCAGTTTGGTCGCAGGCCAGGCCGACCTTGGTCTTAGCCAAAATGATTTTGGAAATTCGCCACGATATTATTTCAACGATCGTGAGAAGCTTGCAACGTCTTTAATCCACTTGATCACTTTCTACTTGTTTATACCGCCGACCGAAGGCTCATTGCTTACTTTTTTACACGAAATTATTACTAACATCTACTAACTGATAAACGTTTTTTCTGTTTGTTTGTAGCAACATAATATGGATACCGAAAAGGTAATAAATTTCAGTTACTAACTACAGATCGCTTGTGATTTGATTGAAACGTATTCATTCGATTCAAGTTAAAGCTGAGACAAACAGTAACATAACACTAAAATCAATGTCGCATTGTATCTCCCGAAACCAAACAGTACGTTCCAATCAAAACGAATTAAGTATTCTGCATCCATAAAAATCACACTAACACTCAACAATTAAAAAACAACTTATTTTCAATCCAAACGAATAATGCAAACAGTCGAAGGATGATAATCCAGAGCAAGTTACGACGCCCACGGCACTTGCCCCCGCAGACAAGGTATACATTCTTTATACAGAAACACAAGCACATACTTTGTTCCCCTGCGCACCCCTTCACTTATATTATTTGTACAAGCACTCCTACTTGCACTTGTATGCACTTCCATTCGCACTTTCGCAATTCCATTTTTTCACTTTTATTATCGTGCAAATAACTGATTCTTGAATCATTATATGTAACTGACATAATAATCTACTAACACACTTCTCTGCTTTATTTGTAGCGAGCGAGATCCGATAAGGATGTGGTAAGTTAACAACTGTAACTTTTCTTATCCTTTCTTAATTCTTATCAGTAAAGACATCGTTACGGTATGCAGATAATTACAAATGATACAAAATTGCTCGACTTCGATAAGAATGAAGTAAATTCATCCTTCGCGAATGATCATGAGTCTCTGAGGGATGAATCCGCTCGCCCGTTGTCCTTGTGAAAAATTCCTTGCATCAAGCGCGGAAATCAAATTCCAGTCGATCTCTAGAAAAGAATCTGGATCGAGGTCTTCGAATCATTGTGCTATTGACCTTCCCATTACTTGCGATTTGCGGAGATCGATACGATTTTCCCATCGTTTTGTTTATATCTTTCTTTCTTTCTTTCCCGTTGGCCGTGGAGTGACATTTTTGGAACAATTTGTTATCTTTGCCACGTATCGCTAAATCAAGCGGAGCTATCAACGCTAAACGATATTTGTTCTATCGGAGTCTGATTTTGAGATATTCAGGCAAATTTAACATATTGTATTACACCTAACGTGCAATCAATATCGAATCACAGATTTAATTTTCAACGGAGACAGAGACGCATTTTTCTTATCAATTTGCTAATTTATTCTTTCTATTTCTATCATCGATACAGATAAAATCTTAATAAATATTCGATCACGAAATTTGCACGAGCGCCACTCATGGCTGAAATTGATCAAATTCAATTGTTTTCAAGGGACATCTAATCGAGACAGCTCGCTTTTGCAAAATCACTCCACATTTCGGCACACTCGCGCGATGTTTCTTCGCTTGCATCATTGATCGCCGATAATTGACGCTAATCGCGTGTCTTTCATGCGCGTAAACTCGACAACTTCAGCAAAGTTGTCAATCGCTAGCTTTTGCAACGCACAAACAATAAAGTGTAAGAAAAAAAAAGTTAGTCGCGCTGTATGTCGTGCGACGATGAAAAGATTACTTTATTCTGTGCATAGGCAGCACCGTTGTTATTTTTTGTGCAACAAGTCTCTTATTGTATAGTTTTTTTTTATTTTTATCATTGTTAAGAAGTTCCAAGAAAAAAATGTTTGCTTCAAAATTTATCCTATTTACACGCATTTGACGATAGTGAGATTCGTTATCATTATCTTCCTATATTCCAAACAACCATTTCATTGTTTCCCGACAGATGTTTCAATGTATAATCCAAAAAATATCTGCTAAGTAAATTAACTGATATATGTACAAGAAAATTTTCCATTTGACAAACTATCCCAAATATAGAAAATCACCAAAACTACTTACAATATGTCGAAATAAAACGTATTGCTGGAACGCATCGTCGTCAACATCATATCGTGAAAAATAAATTCCCATTGTTTCACAAAGATTTTTACGAAATTCCTCTGGCAATAAGAGAAACATTCTTGTCGCGGGAAGAGTTCTCTAGATGAATTTCTTAGTGCACTAAGATTGTTTCTTATTGCATTAAGATTCGACCAAAATTATTGTCCTCTTGCTACAAGAACATTATTTATGTTAGTGCATATAACTATTTTAATCGAAAAATTACACAATTGCATGGACCAAATCTAATCTACGCGGCTTCCCTGTCTCGGGCGGCTCATATACTTGTCGACCGATAAGCTACGAGCACGTTCTGATTTCTTTTTTTGGCCGTGCCTGGGCGCGGAATGTTGGGAAATCGAATATTCGACTGCTGTTTGACTTTTACTCGAAACGGGCTTTACTTCGATTTATTAGGCTTGTACTAACGTGGCATCAGGAGAAATGTCTTTTATTATAGGGTTCGGTAGAGTTTGTTCAGTAATTTACATAGACGAACGTCCGAAATTGATGTCAGAAGATGTATTTAAGGAAAAAAACGGTAAAAAGCATCTATTATTGAATTATATTATTCAATATACAATGTGACGGAAACACTTTTTGAATACCAAATTTCCAACTAACTCGCAGTTCGACAAACCATCCATCTACACCCTTGGGTAACATACGAGAATAGTATGTGAATCATTACATATATATAGGTACATGCACGATTCTATTCTCACTACAGAAACGAGAAAAAAAAACAGACGAGGCAAATAGAACGTCCAGTGCGCACATAAAAATGAAATTGAAAATATCGCAATATAGATGTTTAACCACGGATTGTGCATCAGAGATAGACGGGAATGTTTTATTCGTGAAAAGGGAGGAAACGTGCCCGTATAAATTACACATTGCAAGTCGTACGCGGAATTAATCTGCAAGGCGGACCAAAAGGCGCTTTCATTCTGCACTAAACGACGCTGCGCGTTACGTTAGAATGTAACAAACGATCGTCTTTGCGCGCAACTGCGTTCACCGGTGTAAATGTATAGCTTTGAGCGTGCATTATCGTTTTTCTCTACATACTCGGGCAAACAGGTACACGGCTTGCTTGTAGAAAAACAAGTCTCACGTCAAAACAATGGAATTCTCGCGAATTAACAACAATGAAATTGAAAAAAATATGTATTCTCGCGAGATGTTTTTCCGAACGAATTCGCGATCTTGACATTCAACCTGTTCACGGACAGAATGAGAGAGAGAGAGAGAGAGAAAGAGATACACATTAACAAAAAAGAAGATCGAGGTCGGCATCGTGCAAGTCGTGAGGTCAGCTTCCAACAGCAGTAGTCAGGTTCAATATAACGTAATTGTAAAATTGTTGCTCCGTGACAGTCACTATGGCCATTAGGCGGCATAGACGTCCGTCCGGTATTAGTCGGTACGTACATACGCGTCCGTACGCCACATTCTTTCTCTGTCCCTTGTTCCAATTTTTAAATTATGCTGGCCGATCATCAATTACTTCATTCCTTTGTGATTGACGCTCTACTTATTTGTTGAATTTCATCTGCTTGCACGGCCGATCGATCAATTAATTGGATAGTTCAAGGTCAACAGGAGGATATCATTGAAAAAGCAATCTGTTGCCGTAAAAATTTGCGTGTTCGATCGAGAACATGTGTTCCGCAGTGAAATTGAAGTACATTACTTACATCACGCACGCACGCACACGCGCGTATACGAGACTTGGATATAGACAAAACATGAAAGGTGAATATAGCTCGTCAAAGCAAAACGAGGGGGGAAAAGAATGCAGCTTGTCCCCTTCTCCCCATGAAAGAGAGAGAGAGAGAGAGAGAGAGAACAAAAATTGACTCGCACTCTGGAAGGGATAAAAAGAGCGGCTCTACGAAAGATGGCTTTATATACGAGCCCCTTCCAGTACTCGCGAGCCTCCGCAGCCGCACCACTCGCCCAGCCAATCGCTAGCTTCTCTCTTTTTTGTTTTCTTTTTCGGTGGGATCCGGAGACTTTAAGCGTATCTCTCGCACGCAACACCTCCGCGCAGTCGACACGAAAGTATCGGACTGGTCGCACGCACTCCAGTGTAGGCGATTTTTTCCGTATTTTTTTTGGAAGACAAGTGTGATAAGTGTCTCCAGAATTGTCACTATGACCACGGCAGAGAAAAAGGGAGGGGACCCAACATCCTTTTCCAAATTCCGGACGAGAATCAGAGGTGGTTTTACTGTCGAAGTGAGTTTTTTTACTTTCTTTTGTTTCTCTTTTTTTTGCCTTTTGCATTGGCAGTTTTTAGCAACTTTGAGCGCCAAGTATATACCTACTACTTTTTATTTTATCTCGCAAGTAGTCGAGATTCTCTTCTTCGGTGAGAGAATTGTTATCTGTCAACCGACAAAACACTTGAACTTTTTATTTTATCATAAGCCACTTATCAAATATTTCAAACATTTACTCCGTCCATACTCAAAGCACATACCGAAATACCGGTTTTTGTTTCTCACGCGAAATGTTATTCGATAATTCAGCAAGTTAATAAACACTGATTTGTGGTACTTCATCTTATTTGATTTTACAAAACATCGACTTTATTAGCACACTCGAGGGATGAATTACCATATTATTACTTGGAAGGTTTTTATCGGTCGCGCATCTGTTCTATTGTATATCTGCCGAGTCGCGCTAACAACTGCGGCATTATTCAATTTCGCTCTTGCTTTTTGTATCAGCACGAAACGGATAGAAATTTATGTAACGGTGAAAAAAACTACGATCGTTACAGCTACGTACCAGTACTCTCCTCTTTTTTTCATCGTTAACCTCGTCTCAAATGTTTCCCTGATGAAAGAGCTTGCGGATAAATTAGCGTTTTTAGGTGCTAAAAGACTGCTATACTTCGACAATATGCACACGACGATCGGCAACGAAATTTCGAGAAACCAAATTTTCCACTCAATTCCTCTTCTCATTCCTCTTCTTCGTTTTTTTATCTCATGCACACAAATGAGAATTTTATATTTTACAAGATAATAGTGATCATTAAATTTCTTCATGACGTTTTAGAGATATGAGAACGTAGCCTCGTTGCTTGTTATTGACGTTTCAGCGTATTGTATGTACATCGTCGGCTTAATGTGAAAGTTATTCCAACTTGAAAATAAATGTAGGTGAACTATCAAAGGATAACTAATGAGATATTGATTTATCGTCAGCGTTTCGTCGACTGATGCAACTCATTTGTGAAAACAATAGTTAAACTAGTTGATTCGCCTTAAACATTTAATTTTATCATTTTCTTCTGTCGCGAAAATGAAAACGATTCGCCCCTCTTTAGCATTTGTATTGTCCTACAATATGTACCACGAATTTCGCAGGGCACTTATCAACCTGGAAAAAATCTCAATCTTTAAAATCACTAGAACGACTTGTCCTT